AAGTGATAACTAAGTACATCTTTGATCTACATCACAGAGTTGTATGTATTTTTAGACATTCAAAACAACTCTCCTGTTATATAACAAGGAGAGTTGTTATATAAATTAGAAGTGCACCAACACTTTGATCACATTCACACCACACTTTGATCACACTCTGACACCAACACGCTGGCCTTACAGTCCGAGCCGGATGCATATCAGGAGTGCCCCTTATCCTCACTTTTACTCGATAGCAATCGGGCAATCTCTCCTCCAGCATCCTCCTCCCCATATTCTGCCATCTGCCATGCACCACTTCACCCACACCAGCCCAGGGCTCTGGATAGTGTCCTGGTCGGCCTTTGGTGAGGGCAGCAAGACCCTGCAGCGATGCGTGTCCCAAAAGGAGGAGAAGGCGCTTCTAATTTGAGTTGCCAAGTTTGGTTTGTTTAGATTAGAAAAAGCATTATAAATTTGGGTTCATAAACTTTTATTTTTTCTTTGAATAATATGCTCATGCCTTCTAAATAAAGTGGATTTGGAGAAGTTCCATGGGGTGTTATAAAAAGTTCATTGGGAATATGGTGTGCAAGTCTGCCAGTCTAAGTATGATGGCAACACGCAAAGACAGAGGAGTTGTTAGCAGTTGTGCCTGGTTTGTCCACTATTAAAGCTATAAGTGTCTACAAAAAACAAGTGAACAAAAAAGAAAACTACAATTTATGCATCTTTATTAGATTTCTTGATGTTGATTGATCATCTTACAAACAGTGATTATGTGTTATTATACGTCATACATTACAATATTACTTTATTGAAAATGTTATTGTATATTATTATTATTACTTTTCACAGCTCGCCTATTTCACAGTAAACTGCAAGGGACTCTCCTCACTTATCTATGACTTTACCCAGGGCTGTTACAAATGCATTGTGAAGCACTTTGGCTGTCTTCAAAGAGGTTTTAGAATTCAACACAGTCCTGTTTCTGTTTACCTTCAATCTTAGCGTGAGGCGTGTGAGGGTCTAACTCATGGTAACGGCTCTTACTTTAATTTAAGCTGATTCAGTCCTTAATGACTGCTGCGGTGAGGAGACATCCATCTAACAGGGTCCATCTATCAGCCGGACTCAGGCTGGCTTTATCTGGACATGTGGGGGGACGGCAAGGGTGCCCTTCTTGGCCCGGGAACCCAACCAGAGTAAATGAATGAATGAATGATACTTTTATTAGTCCTACAGTGGGGAAATTACAAGTTTGATGAAGAGACATCAAGAGATGCAGCGGACGACCTCCAGAGTTATCTATTATTATTTTCTCCTCAGCCTTCTCGTCTCCTCTGGGATGGGACAATACACAATAATATACTTAATTCTGATACTATATTGTCTGTGCTACATTTAACGGCAATGATTAAAGGGAAAAATACATCTACAAGGAATCAAAAAAGTACACTCTATAAACCATTTTTGCAACCAATGTCATTGGTAGTTGGGTCGTCCGTTCCCTGCCAGGGACTGCAGATGTAAATTAGCCTCAGGCTAACTCTGGTACAATGCATCAAATGGTAACATTTATGTTATAATTGTACATGGTCCCTTTTAAATAAATAAACTAAACCACCCAGTGGCTAAAAAAAAAAAAAAAAAGTACTTGGTATGTTGTGTGTCATAGCATCAAAATCAGATCAAAATATTGGTCTGAATGAGTACTATTGTTGGCTGACTCATTCATACTCGGCAAAGTGGGTGAAGTGTCTTGCCTAAGGACACAGCACCAATTTTGTGCTTTATTGCTGTTCCCAAAAGTTTCCCATTACCTGCACTAACCAGACCCTGCCCTGCTTAACTTCTGACGGTCACATGCAGGTGGTACCACAATAGACATATATTCAATGTGATGTTATAGCATGACGGCACTGTTTTTCTATAGGCAAGGCAAGTTTATGTGTGTAGCACAATTTCATACACAATTTCCGACCTCCAGACATGCTTAAAGTTGGTAAATTCCACAAGTCTTGTATTTGTAAGTTTGTAAAAAGGAGTAATCCGTGTTTTGTAGAATAAAAATGAAAATAAAAATGATTATAGGAGATTAAAAAGCAGCAAGCGAGGAGCAGCGAGAGAATGCGACCACACTGTACAAGAGCAGGAAGGAGCACCATCAGATGAAAATATATGTCAATTGTCCAACCATTCTGTTTTTAAAGTGTACATGTGCAGTAGTCAGTACCTTGATTTATGCTTTAATACTTGTTTTTAGGTAAAACAGCTCACAAAAAAAAAACAGATTTCAAAGCTTTCTGTAAAATCCTCAAAGAATGGATTTTGGCATCTGATTTTTCACACTTTATTCCGAACACCTGAACAGATGAGGCAAAGTTTCAGTGGTCTGCAGCAGCACTCTGGAGGGGTGCAGTCTGAAGGGTGTAGGCCTGTCCCACCAAACGCGTTATGTTTTGCAGTTCCTCGTTGTTTTTCAGTCCTTGTTGGTATGTGTACACACACCTTAACACAAATCAAAAATGACAAAGCGGAGACATTTTAGCTGCTTCTCTGGGACATTCAAATACTGCTGTTTGATATGGCAGATATTTATTTATGAACACTTTTGTATTGGTCATCCCATTACACTCTGGACCGAAGGCTTCTGTGACAAGTGCTTGTATTTGCCATAAAGGTTGAAAAAACAACATTTCTACAGCAGTATGTTCCATAAGTTTCTGATATTATTATTATCATGGTAAATGTGATCTTTAAATCAATTCTCATATTCTAGCAGTAACAATTTTCTCCAATTCTAAAAGGGTTTTCTGCTTAACAAGAATCTTGACTCTGGCAAAAGTGCTGATTCCACACATTAAAAAAGTAAAAGTGGCCGCATCTGTTCTGTGAGAATTGAGCTGGGCCAATTACAAAGTCCAACTTTAACAGCGTGACTTTTGTCGCTAACAAGACACGCATTTGAGAAAACTGCATTTGAAGCTACAATGTCCCGTTGAAATGTATATGTGGATGCAAGTGGGGTCATCCAGGCTCAGGTGGGAGGTGCCAATAAATAAAAGAAAACTTTAATGACAGATAAATCTTCCGTTCTATATTGTTCCTTTCCTCCTGTGACGTTTGTGTGCGTGTCCCTATAGCAGATGTCTCGGTGCATTGCGTCTTACATGAGTTATATTGCAGCTCATAAAGCGTTTACGGAGGGAAGCGCGTCTGGATCTAGGCAGCAGCATTTGTCAAGAGGAAAGTGACAGCTCCAATAGAACAATATCTACATCTGATACAAGCAGTGGCCACTCCAGCGCAATGGGACGTGTCAACGTACTGTCACAGCCAATGTTCACTGTGGGCATCCCAATATCCACTTGTTTTCAGGAGACACCCTTGGACTGTGTAGAGATGGGCAATGCTAACCCCCAAGGTCAATGAAACCAAATTGAGAAGTGCTCATGGAAGAAGTTTTGTTCATACTCGTTCTGGGTCCTGTTGACTGGGATTGTAACTGTTTGTGTCTAATTCAATATTTTGGACTTAAAATGGTTTAGCACTCTCTGTGATCTTGGTGTTTATATTGTGATATTGTCTTTGTAAAGCCAGATTTGAGCCCTAAACACTGACGAGTAGCACAAGTTTGGACAGCCTGGCGCCGACTCCTGATTGCCGAATAGTTACTCAGCTGTTACTACCAACAAATTGTTTCTTCCTGCCTGTTTGAACTGCTCTCATCGGCCTCTTCCACATTCAGGTGATGTCAGCACCCAGGTTTGGAATGGAAGTAGTAGGAACAGAACATGGCCTACACACTCACACATTCATAACATTAGAAAATGTATGACTACAATTTGTTTTTCAGGAAACAAAATCAAAGTAGTTCTACATTTAACTAAAGACTTAGACCAGTGTCTCCCAAAGTGGGGTCTGCGGCCCCCTGGGGGGCCGCGAGGGTATTGCAGGGGGGCCGTGAAAGGTCATTAAAAAAAAGTTTCTTCATTATTGTATGTTAAATTAATTATATATTGTTTGTAATATTAAAATATTTGTGTCCGATGTTTAATGATTTTGCTATGCTACAATCATTAAACATTACTCTCGTAGGCCGGAACGTTCTATATCTATTTTTTTATTGGAGGGGGGGATAATATGTGTGGAAGAGGTTTGCAGCGGGAAATGAATATACTGTTATGGATCGGTGGCTACTGAATAAAACTCAGCCTGCTGCTGCTGATGTAAGTCAGGATCAAGATCCAGATGGAAATCAAGACTCAAATTACAAATCAAGGAAACGACGTAAATATTCGAGTGAGTATTTGGCACTCGGTTTTACCACTACGGGACACGAGGACAACCCACGGCCCGTCTGTGTCATCTGCTCAGAGGTCCTCGCCAATGAGGCCCTGAAACCTTGTAAACTTCGTCGTCATTTGGAGACCAAGCATGGACAGTTTTTATCAAAGCCAAGGGAGTTTTTTGAAAAAAAATTACGAGAATATTTGCAACGCAAGAAGGCTATTGAATCAACGTGTGTGACCGGGGGAGAGTATGCCAGGACCGTGGAGGCCTCATACAGAGTGTCAAAGTTAATTGCGCAAACTGGCAAACCGCACACAATAGGAGAGGACCTCATTCTACCTGCTGCTAAAGAAATGGTGAACATGGTGATTGGTGAAAATGCAGCAAACAAACTAAACGTGATATCATTGTCTGATAATACAGTGAAGCGTCGCATCGATGACATGGCTAAAGACGTGTTAAATCAGCTTGTCACCAGAATCGAAGAAAGCCGTTTTTATGCAATACAAATCGACGAGTCCACGGATATAGCAGCCTTGGCCAATTTGCTTGCTTTTGTAAGGTACGAACATGATGGGGACATACATGAAGATTTTTTGTTTTGAAAACCCTTACCATCAAACACGACTGGAGAGGCCGTATTTGAAGCGATCAATGATTTTATGGTTTCAAATGAAATCGACTGGGCAAAGTGTGTGGGACTAAGCACAGACGGAGCCAGAGCCATGGTGGGACGACTAACCGGAGTAGTCAAACGAGTGAAGGATGTGGCCCCACTGCTGACAGCTGTCCACTGCAGCATCCACCGTGAGGCTCTGGCTACAAAGACGATGCCTGCAGACTTAAATAAGGTGTTGAATGAAGCTGTAAAAACTGTCAATTTCATCAAAAGTCGTCCCCTGCAGTCCCGCTTGTTTGGGATCCTGTGCGCGGAGATGGGGAGCGAACACAGACAGCTTCTCCTTCACACTGAGGTCCGGTGGCTCTCACGCGGCAAAGTGCTCACACGCCTTTACGAACTGCGCGATGAAGTCAGAGTCTTCTTTGTGGACGTTCGTTTTGAGTTGGCCGAGCGATTCTGCGACTTTGAATGGCTCTGCAAGTTGGCTTATTTGGCTGACATTTTTGGATACTTAAATGGACTCAACCTGTCACTACAGGGGAAAACAGTGACTGTGTTTCAAGTGCAGAATAAGATTGATGCCACAATTAAAAAGTTTGAGATGTGGGATCGCAGAGTTGGACAAAATAACTTTGAGTCCCTGGACAGCTTGTCGGACTTGTTGGGCAGCGAAGAGAGTGAGATTCCCAGTTCGGTGGCAAGCGCTGTCAGCGCGCACCTGCAGGCCCTCGGAACCCAGCTTCGCAAGTATTTCCCTGCACAAGACAACATGAACAACTGGATAGAAAACCCATTTGTTCTCCAGGCTCAGGACGCAGCAGGACTTTCTTCAAGAGAGCAGGACAGCCTCGTGGAATTATCTTGTGATAGCTCATTGAAACTGGAATTTACGCAGACTCACGTGGTGCGCTTCTGGATACGCGTTTTCAAAGAATATCCACATTTGGCTGACAAAGCCATTCGTTTCCTCATGCCATTTTCCACCACGTATCTCTGTGAGACTGGATTTTCCTCCCTAGTTGCATTAAAAACCAAGTACAGGAACAGACTGGATGTCACCTCTGATCTCCGCTTAAAGCTGACCACCATTCAACCCAATATTGGGGCTTTAGCATCCGCTATGCAACACCATCCGTCTCATTAGGTGAGCTAAGCTATTGTATTGAACGAATATTTTTCCTTGATTAATATGCATTTGTGCTGGCCTTTTTTATCTGTTTGATTTTGAGAGCGTTTGTGTGCTCATGTCAGGGTTCATTGTGCGCTGGAATGGCCTGAATTACATTTTACTTGGTCTGTTCATATTTTATGTTCATTATTTGACTTGAATAATCTAATTGTAATAACTTTTGTTTTACAAAACGGTTTTAGCAGAGGTTATATCCTCCAAATAAAATGACGAGAAGAGCCTATTTTTAACGTGTCGTCTTGGTTATTATTTCGGGGGCCGCGAAGACCCGTCAGATTTTTAAGGGGGCCGCGGTCTTGCTGACTTTGGGAATGGCTGACTTAGACAATAATAATTAATTAGTAAGTTTAAAGGTTTATAATAGATGTATAATAGACCCTTAAAAGTAACTTCATTATGCAAGTGGCCAGTTGTCGATGTGTGACTAGGCGAAGAGATATTGAAGCTGTAATTTAATATGACAATGGTATTCAATGGCATTTTATATGAGGGACACATCCACATTTACAATTTATTTATGGTAGAATAAAAAAAAGGATTATTCCCACTGCAGCCCTGTGTTTTTTGATCTGTGCTGAAATGCCATGCCGACCTGGGACAACAAGGTTAGCGTGTTGGTTTCCTTCTTCAGCTGACCCACAGCAGCCTCTAAAACAGTTTGGTTTTAGATAATTAGATAGACCTGAAAATTGTCCTAAATTTGATGTCTGAATTACTGTTATATTGTGTCAGAGAGTTCAAACTCACACTTCCTATATTAGTTTGTTTTGGAAGTATCGCAGAGATAACTTGCCACGGATGAAAACCCAGTGAAATCTGTGTCTTCTTCTGGTGAGCAGCTTGCATCAGTCACCCACATAAACCTCATCTCCACGGGGCCAAACTGCTTTGAACGGAGGGGTCTCTGGTTCAATGACGGAAGGCACATGGAGAGGGAGACGGTTAACCTGCACTGAATGCCGCCACCCCCCTTCGCTAATAAAGACACGCCATCACAGACAATAAAGACACGCATGTGAAATGTCACCGCATAAGGACTGCAGCAATAACAACACAGGTGAGGCTCATCAGCGCAGCTACAAACAGAACTGTGTTTTAAGTAGGGAGGCACCCATTCAGTTTTTTACGGTCCGGATATTGATACGTTGGCTCTTAGTATCCATCAACACCCAAAATTAACCAATGTCTATTTTTATCATACACAAACAAGCAATAATAAACTCTAGAAGTGATAAAACAAAGACAAAATATACATACATCAAAAACTATGGCTTTATGGATTACACTTATTTCTGAAAGAGGCAGAAACAGTGTATCAGAATAAAAATATTGCAAAAAAATAAAGTTCCAAATGTTCTCAACATACACCTGTTTGATCTATGTTTCAGATCACTCAAGTAATTTCTGCTTAGTTACCTGAGGTTTTGTAGATTTCTCCTACAGGGACCAATAAAATATCTATCTATCTAATACATACTAGTATCATATGGGAGATTAGGTTACAGGTACTCACCAATACTGATGCCTGAAAAAAAGAATATATCAGCACCGTATCAGTGCATTTCTAGTTTAGAACGGCATAAATACAGGCTATAATTATTGATGTGCGTTCCTCATCAAGACAATCAGCTCAAATATCCAAATAGTGACTCACATGGCTCTTTCTCACCAGCATACAAACTATAACATGTTTTAGGATCAAGACAGCCCGTTGTGTTCTTATTTGTTTGTTTAACTACAAAATCTCTGTAGGTCACAGCACAAATCAATCACGTTTATAACAGTTTCATATACGGGCAGCCAAGCGAGGTGTGTAGTTATTAGATGATTTTCTCTGGTGGATCAGAAGGATGAGGACAGACAGCAGGCTCACTCTCTCACACACACACACACACACACACACACACCAAAGACACACACACACACACACACACACACAGACTTCCATCTCACCGGGATGGCAGGGATCATGGACTCTGCCCCCGGTGTGAGCAGCTTACACTCCTGCCAGGGACTACTTTGGAATGACACATATTCTGCAAAACATACTTTTTTGAGCTGTCATACATCACAGACCTGTAGCTTCGTCCTCCGCGTAGAGGCCGTTTTCAGGTCTGAGAATATATTTTCTGTCTTTTTTATTTGACAACTGGGCATCTTTGCCTCTAATGGTCTTCATCACAACTGCATGCATACTTGTTCCCATATGTTACATACAACAAGCATGGAATTTATTTGAGATTTTAGGAGTATTATATTTAATTTAAAGAAGCTATACCCAATATTTTTTCTAATGAGTTCATTAAAATGCTTATTACTACATACAAGTTGTATTATAAACCGTAATTTAATTGATAACTTGAGCTCATTCATTCAGCTGTTTATGAACTCAGGCCGTATAAAGGTGCTGTGTAGAGACTAGCTCATCCTGCTCCACTCACAGAACAAGGCTGCGTCCTCTTAGCCTGACTCTGCCAGACCCTTGTAGTTCCGCCATGCTCCGCCAGAGGCGTTTGGCTGAACCACATGGGTCTAGTATCGAACCCATAGCGAACGCCTTCCCCAGATTATTTTTTAATCGACCAATCAGGATTGCCGGTGTTACGTGGGGTTTGCACTGCCTCCTCACGCTTCTCTCCTGCAGCAGCGAGAGGAATCCAAAATGGCGGCAAAACTCCGCGAATCTTTTTAAAAGAGTAAAAACGATTGAATTAAGACACGGATATCACTTTTAATGCCATTTGAGGCGAGATGTAGATGGTTCTATGTTGATATGTGTGTTTTAAGAGTCAAATGTTCCTCTAAAGTTTGGTTGAAGCACTGGTTCAGTGTTCTTGTTTACACACTATGCAGCAGGGTTGTCAGGTTTGGTGATTCCCGCATATTTTTTTGCAGCGAACTACATGCGTCTGGCGAGAGTCAGGCTAGCGTCCTCTAGCCTCTACAGCGCTGCTAAAAACCGTAGCATGTTAGCAGAATTGGCTATAACTCCTCTTGCTGTAACTGCGTACACAGCAAAACAGCGCAAACAACAAAATAGTGAGGAAGAGAAGAGGGCGAAAAAGAAGCGAAAAGATGATCAAAGAAGAAATCAAGCCCAGGTGAACATAGCTAGCTTACATCGTATCCTCTGGAGAGACTTGTCTATGGAGAGACCTGTGGGAGCGGGATTGCCTCGGACTATCTATGCTCGGATTACATTCGGAAGCGAAACTAGCGATAATCTTTCGGTAATATGTTTTGTTATCAGTGTGTTGCTTTTGTACCATTTCATCAGTGATTGTTGTACAGCTTAAAGTTGCCCTAACTGACTTTATTTTTGTATTCATTACGAAAAAGCTATCCATTTCCATGCAGTGCATTGGGATATACGTCCTTTTGAAGAAAAGGTAGCACAGATTTGTGCTACATTATATTTTAGATCGAGTTTTGATGAAACAAGGAAGAGAATGTGTTTCGGGTCACAGATTGTGACCAATCACAGCGTACCACTAGCCCCCACTTTCTTGAGAAATCTACAGGTCCGTTAGCATCAAGCCCCGGCGATCCAAGATGGCGCCCTATTCAAATGAATGGTCGTGCTCAGTGGCGCTTTGTGACGGCATGGGGGCTGAAAGATTAGCGGAAGTTGCCTGAAACTCGCAAAGATCTATGGGAAACTCGCCTGTATTTGGGCATTGTCTGGTCCTCCCGGTTCTGCGCAGTGGATGATCTCCCATAATGCGTTGCGTCAAACACGCGTGTGTGGGTCTCACACCGGGTCTCACGCACGTGCACAGAGGGGCTCGGCCGCGCTCTGACCAATCAGAGCAGTTCATCAGAGCGGGAGTTAGAGCGAGAGCCAGACAAGCAGAGTTTGTGGCACTAAAGTGTGGATTTAAACAAAACCGAAGGATTTAAGAAGAAAACAAGTTCAGGATGACAAGGGACACTAAAATCCCCACAGAGCATCAACATCTGGAGATGGGTTCCCGCGCGCTGTTACTACGGCGACCACTGCCACTGCTCCGTAAGCTTTAGCGGCATCAGGATGGGTCAAAAGCAGGGGATTGAATCGCCCTACGGGGATTAATAAAGTGCACCTTTACCTTTACCTCATCCACTGCGCAGAACCGGGAGGACCAGACGATGCTCATATACAGGCAGATCTTTGCGAGTTTCCCATGGATCTTTGCAAGTTCCAGTCGACTTCCGCTAATCTTTTCGGCACCCATGCCGGCACAAAGCACCACTGAGCACAACCATTCATTTGAATACGCCGCCATCTTGAATCGCCGGGACTTGGTATAGCTCCTTTAATATTTTTTCACTTGTGATTTTTGGCCTCTGTCACATCTCTACATACGTTCTCTAACATGTGATGCAACACTGAAATCTCCTAATGGGACAAACACAGGATCTCTTAATCTCAATCTTAAAAAAAAAAAACAGGACCACTCACTCTCAGTCCAAAAAGTGACTCACGGGGCCCTATATATTTACGTGTATGCAAAAGATATCCGGTTTTCTGTTTTCTAAAAAGATGAAGAAGCATTTACAAGACTCTTACAAAAATGAACACATGAATATTGCCTCATATTTGTTCTTCCATATTGATCTAAGAACCCTGCACTGCTCCCTCCACCTCAGCTTGACCGTGTGGGACCTGTTAGCCTGCCTGCGCCCTGGCCTGATTGCTCCTGACAGGCTTCCGTAGTGCTGGGCTCTTCTCCACTTAGAGCCTCACCTCGTGGGCCTCTGCTCTGAATGTCACACAGTGGAGCTGGATCGCTTTCCAGGGGCCCAGTCGCATCAAGGGCCCGATCAATGAGCAGTCTGATCAGAATGTCAACGCGGCTCATAGGTGTGTTTCCTATAGACTGTCATAGTACACAGTTAAGGGAGGGGGCTGATTGCAGTGCTCCCCCTGAGAGTCCATAGAAGCACTTCATTTGGGTGCTATATAAATAAATATA